TCTTTTCTCAGACCTACCAGAGCAGAGAGAAAGGCCTGTGAGCTAGGCTGATAATGACCATTAATTTTACAGGCTAGAAAATTATAAATTCTCCAGGAAGTAGCGTTTTAAAAGTCTAAGAAGCACGACTATTTCACATATATGGTTTCACTTGTCCCAGCTTAATTAATATGGAAACTCCCTGTTTGAAAATTTTAAAATTATCTGAAATTATTATAGTATAGTTGTAGCTGGTATCAGGAGACTTGGGTTTGAATCATTGCTCAGCTGATAGCTACTTGGGTGAACTTACATTCTAGGATCCTCAACACCCTAAGGGGTCTAGTACCAATCTGCAGCTTGGGATTATAGATTGTGGATACACCTTTTGGCTATTGTATGCTAATTGAGTGTTGTCCAAGACCATGTAAAGCCTACCAGACTTCTATTCTTCTGGTAAGTGCTAACTAGTTATACACTAGGTAGGTCTAACATGTCTTAGTATTTACAAATACATTATCAAATGATGTGAGAGTGAGGTCAGTGATGCTTGTATAGTATGTGTGTGTAGTCATACATACACATGCGTAAGCATATACATGCACACGCATGACCCTTGATGGCCATAAGTGAGTTTAGTGAACACAGTAGTGGCACATGGATTGTTAGATTGTTATGTTTTGTTCTTCCTTAAAGTTCAGTTAGGTATATACCCTGAATGGGAAATGTTAGTTTGGATCTAGGAATCTAATTGAGACAAAGCTGGAATTCATACCTTTGCATTACTGTGCTCTGCCTCTGAATTACTAGGCTTCCTTGCCTGTGAGCTTTTTATTTTTTTAATATTCTGGCAGATTTTTTTCTTTTTGGTTAGGCAATGGGTTTAAGTGACTTGCCCATGGTCACATAGCTAGTAAGTGTTATGTGTCTGAGGCCGGATTTGAACTCAGGTCCTTCTGAATCCAGGACCTGTGCTCTATGCACTGCGCCACCTAGCTGCCCCTCCACTGGGCCACCTAGCTGCCCCTCTGGCAGATTTTTTTCAGAATTATTTAGTGGTCATCTATAGTATTGAAATGCCCAATGCCTCCACTGAGACTCTTGGTTTAAATGCCACTGTTTGTGGCTAAAATATCTCCTGAAGTCCTACTCCAATGACTCCTTATGTCATAGAGTTGCTTTATCTGTCTCTTTAAAAGATATTTCAGTGGAGCCTAAGTCTTGAAGCATAGACCTGGCAGTGAACTGCTTGTCTGTAGTCTGAAAATCAGCATTGCTGTTTGTAGAGGTGCCTGATGAGAGGGTTGGCTAACAGGTGGTATCTTTTTGACTTTAGAAAGTCTGAAATGATCCACAAAGTTGAACAAGGTGTTATCTACAGTGATGAAATCACAGATCCTTGACATATTAAAATATTATGGATAAAACATCTTAGGAAACAATTCAAATCAACAAAAATGTATTAAACACTGCATTATGTGTCAGTAATTCAAAAGCAAAATTGATATTCTGTCGATGAATTCTGACTCAACATTTGAAGAGCTGCCTAGTTTTAAGACATTTTATTGGAATCTTATTATGGCTGAAGAAAGGATTCAGGAGATTAAGTTTAACCTAGGAAACAATATATATTGATATTTCCCGACACTACTTATGCTATTCTTCATTTAGTCTCCCCAGTACAAAGTAATAGTGGAGTGAATAAATTTGATTATATATGTATATATATAATATGTGGTGAATAAAAACCACACACACACATACACACATATCTATTGCAGATTTGGTGCATAAGCTGGTATTTCACAGAATTTCAGAGTTGGAGATTTGGTAGGGCTCCTCCCCCTACCCCCATCCTCCTGGTCTCCCTCTACTCCTTTCCACCCCCAGCCCCATCTCCAGTTGTGGAACCAGGATCACATCAGCTTTGCTATTGTTCTTATATAGGATTTGTCAGTCTTCTCCCCATTCTCCCCAGTGGCCCCATTTATCTTCCTTGTAATTTTCTTAACTGGGGTGCTCCTGTATAACCACCATGTCACTATGTGTGTTGACTCCACCATTAAAATACAAATACTTTGTGAACAGGCACCATATTTGATTTTGTATTTATATCCTAAACTTAGTACAATACTTTGCACCTAGTAGGTGATCAATAAATTCATATTCATTTATTCATTCATTCATTCTTTCATTCAACCCTTATCTGAACAAGAAATCTCCCTACTTATTTGCTCCTTATATTTGACTATATGAGAGGCTTTGTTTGGTGATTATTTATTATGTAAAACAGTGCCACCAAGTTTGATCATTTAAAAAATGATTTTTCAAAAGCACGCATAGCAACTATAGACACTCTGCACGTATTTGTAAATTATCTTAACTCTTTGTGATGTAAGGGTAGAAATCGGTTAACCAGTCAACAAGAATTTATTAAGCACTTGTTATGTGCCAAGGGATTCAAAGAAAGGTATAACTAGGCCCTGATCTCTAGAAGGTCATATTCTAGTGAAGACATCATGTAAACACTATGTACATACAAACTATATGTAGTGTAAAAGGAATGCTTATGAAAGAGAAAATGTACTTTGTAAGATGGAGCCTAGCTTTGAAAACACTGAATAAGGTGCTGGCAGCTACAGATGCAATCAAAATATTACTCTCAAATCATATTGACACAAAATATATTTGTAAAATATTAAAACTCAGTGGGGTAGCTAGATGGTACAGAGGATAGAGTATTGGGCCTGGAGTAAGGTAGATTCATCTTCCTGAATTCAAATGTGGCCTCTGACCCTGGGCAAGTCACTTAGCCCTGTTTGCCTCAGTTTCCTCATCTGTAAAATGAGTTGGATAAGGAAATTCTAGTATTTTTGTTAAGAAATACCCCAAATAGGGTCACAAAGAGTCAGATATAACTGAAGAACGACCGAACAACAGCAACAACAAAACTCAATAGATCGTCAATAGTTACATAAACATTTTATTAAAAGTGTGCTTCCACATTTGGAGAATATGTTTTTCTTCACTTTGTACTATGTTGTCAAATCAACAGTCTAACTTCGAAAGTGAACAGAAGGTAGCTGTTGCTTTTGATTCTTGACTTTGTTTTTCTTGTGAGACTTCTCTCCAGTTTCTTTCTCCAGTAAGGAGATTTAATAAACACTTGCCTTGTGCTCTCCTTATTCCACTACTTAACTTTTCCTTTGTGACTTTGGGTGGACTTTATGTCATAGATTTTTCTAGTTGTAAAATTGAAAAAAAGTTCATCATTGTATAATGTTTATTACATAAGAAAACATTATATAACATTTAAATCTTTAGCTGAAAGATGAAGAATGATGTTGCTGTATACAAAATATTTTAACAATGATGCCCTGTATTGATATTTTGTAAAATATGTTTGTAAAAAGTTTCCTGTATAAGTTACATATTGGTTTAACAGGCTTTTGTGATTGAAGAAGCAGCATGTCATAGTTGTTAGAGAGCTTGTCTTAAAGTCAGAAAGACTAGAGTATATTTTCCATCTCAGGTATAGTGGCTCTGCGACACTAGTTAAGTCATCTGACCCTTCAGTGTAACAGTCAACTCTCTAAGCGTAAGGCGAAGAGATGGTGTCCTGCATTGGTATAGGGAGTTGCCTTACATGGGAGTTCCTTATATTAATGAAATCTCTATCACTTCTGATTAAATTCATACTATATAAATGCCTGAGTGAAGTGAGTTATTATTCCAGTTGTATGAGTGTGAAAATGAGAATGCCAGTAAGGTTGGGTAATTTTTTAAAGATATATAGCAAATGAACAGCAGAGCTAGAACAAATCAATGCCTCCCAAAGCTCTGTCTTTTCTTTAACCTTCTGAATTCTATATGTGTATTTTTATCATCATCTGCAGCAACAACAAATTTATTGTATTCCTATTTGTCCATGATGCTGTAGTAGGGGCCATAAAAAGCAAACTGTGCAGACAAGTCAAGGCCTGTTCCCTAGCAGGATACCACTGGCTTTATACACAGCTATAGTAAGAGCTACAGTTAAGTGTAAACTCTAAATGATAGAAAGAGAAAACAATTGGAAAATTTATTAGGTGTCATTTTAAAGATACTTAAAAGAAACTATTTTGCCACTGATGGTTGTTAATAGAAAACCTGATTATTTGAATTTCAGAAGTACATTTGAATTTCTATATCCTAGTAGTTGTTGCTGCTCGGAAGCCCTTGGCTTCAACAGTAGTATATATCAGATATGAGTCAAGTTTAAGTATGCATGTTTTAAGGAGGCAGGAAATAAATAAAGAAATGAATGAATGAATAAGTAAGTAAGCAAATAAATAAATATATGTTTGGAGACGAAGAAGAATAGCTTTGGAGGCTGCACATCAAATGGATAGTAGAGTAGACAACTTCTGTCCTGGTGATAATGGCAGACAGACTGTTGGGGGGTTGTTGGAGGTGAGCTTTTTCTGAGAGCAGTGAAGATATTCTAGGCAAGAAAAAGCAGTTGATGAAATCCTTGCTTCTACATGATTTATAATGGAATACAATGTCAAAAGGGTAGATAGATATAAAATGTATTAAAATATAGATGTGAGAATTATCTTTCCAGATGATCACATATGCATAAAACTGCTTGTGATTAATGGCAGTTATTTTATTAGAAAACAGTATTTATTTTATCTACCTTTACATTAATAAAATAAATAAAATCACTTATCTAAGACAAAATGACAAACTTAAGAAATAAAATTAGAAAGCATTAAATGGAGCCTCCAAATCCTGACAATTAAAAAAAGTTTGGAATCTACCCGTTTCATGGCATAATGGTCATCAGATGAATTCTGAGTATTACGGAAAATTGTAGTATGCTATGTTAAAGCTATTTAAAAAGTAGATTTGACGCTTTATTTGGGAGCTTATTTACAGCATACTGTAGACACATTTAGTATATAACCTTTATAGTATAATGAATTATTATTTGTAAATTTTTTTTCTTTCTTTCTTCCTTTCCAATACTGAAACAGGCTAAGAGGCACCAGGCCTGTCTAACAGAGATGAATGAAAAGAATGTGAAAGAGTTGGAGTTGCTCTTAGACAGCTTTGCTGGGTCTGGCCAGCGGACATCAGGTTAGTTGAAGGTATAAGATGACAGATGCATCTGTCAATGTTCCAAAGTCACTACATTGTGGGAATTCTGCAGATGCCTTTTGCAGTCCCTCTTCTCAACATGCTTTGATTTGATGACATGATAAGAGCAGTTCTCACAGCAGTCAGTTGGCCTAGCTGGCTGAGAAAGGGTGACGGAATGTGGACCTGCTGTTGTCAGCCCAGAACTTGATTTACAAGTGCTGGGGTGTATATGATTGGACAGAAAAGGGCTCACTTGCTGTGCTCTGAATCCAACTGAGAAAAAAGTCCTTACAGTATACCTGCAAGGGGAACAGATGTTTTGATTGAACCGAGCCAAATTCTGAGGCAACCTTCAACAACTTAAAGGTCACATATTCAAAAAGGTTATGTAGGACACAGGATTTAACACTGTACATGTTCTATACTGTTGCTTTCTAGCCAATTGTCATATCTATTTTCTGTATTTGTATTCATCTGTTATCCAGGTAAGTGTACTTGGGTGAACTTTTAGTTAGTTGTTTTAGTCTATTTTAATAGCTATAGGAATATAAAAATCTTATCAAATAGAGATATTGCAAGAAAATGCAAAAATCAATATAATTATCTTATCAAGTGAGTAGCAGATTTATAATAACACTATATTTTCTACTTTTTCATATCTTTTTGCCTTAAGAAAGAATTAGAAATTGTATAATAAATTAATATTATAATTTTAAATGATCCATCTTAATTATTTTCTCCTGTTACTCTGGCAACCGAACATTATTTCATTTGTCTTATAATTCAGTTGCATTTCTTGACAAATCAAGTGAAACTAAAAAAAAATTTTTTTGTTATGCTTGAAAAAATTGCTGAAGGGATTCATTACTCTCTAAAGAATGAATGCAGTATTAAAGCAGCAGATAAGTTCCTTTAAGCAGTCTGGGATTTAAAACTTTGTTGTCTCCATGTTTAAAATCTAGAATGGTTACAGTTTAAGAGCACATGGTTTATTTGGCCTTTATTTGGCTCTGCAAATTCCTTAGATGATGGCCCTATAGTATGTTTAATGTTGTTTCATCTTGCCTAGTTTCTTTACTTTTACGTTTTAAATTGTGATTTAATTGAATTAATAGATAAATTTTTCTTATATTCAGATTTCCAAGAGATACTAATGATTCTATAGGTTGATATTGTGTAAAAAATAAAGAACAATTCAAATGATGTAATAAATACAGATGGCTAGCTTCAATGGAAATTTTTACAGTGCTACAGTTTCTTTTATAGAAATTGTAGAATGTTTCTACAATTATAGCAATTGTTTTCTGATTGTGTCATTTTAATATAGTGATAACATAGCTTTTGAAAGTATTGTAGTAGTATTTTAGAATGTCTTTTGGCTCATCAGTAATGTATAATAGATATTTTAGATGTGTCTTTATAGTTGACTTTGAAATGCCAAGAATCATGTGGCATATATTTTTTGACTCTTAAGATTAATTGATTAAAAAGCAAGTTATGAATTGTCATTAATAAACTTGAAGTATGAGGGCTCTACTCTCCTTTCCAGTTTCCTCTTTTTAATGCTATTCTTTTTAAAGTCCTTATTTTTCATTATAATTTATTATAAAAAGTTCTCCATTTGGTCAGGAAAGAGTTTTAGCATTTAAAAAAATATTTGTTCCAAAAGTTACTTGTAATGTAAACAGGGTTGGTGATTCAACCAGCTTATTGATAGTCATTATTTCAAGTAATCTTCATTGCTTGATCTTTTAAGACTTCATTTAAAATAGTTTACTGTTAATATTTAGTTTTCCTAAATTCTGTTTTCATATAAAGTACTTTGAAGGTATATATTTCCTCATATTAAAAATATGACAAAGAGAGGTGTACTGAAATACAAAACAATGTATTGGACTTTCAACATTAAAATTAAATTTTCCCTCCCAGCTTGTACAGTTGGTGGTACTCCTGTGCTGTCTCAGAATTCATGTATTCTTTTTCTTACCCAGAAAGGGACTGATGGAATATAGGGACTACAAGAGCGCTCGAGACTACCAAAACCATGACCCTCAATTCTCTGTCTCCTCATGTGGAGAAATTAGGATTTGTAATGTGGCAAAGGAGACTTCCTGGAGCCAGGTTTAGAAGAGCCTGGCTGTAAATTTTCTCAGAGAGTTAAGTCCATTTTATAAGAGTGTTTGCCCCTAGAGTAAGTCAGAGGTGGTTATCCAGGCCCCTGCAGGGTGCTTTCTGGGAGGAACCCTGGTAAGCCAGATGTCCAGGAAGGGCTGCTTTTCTCTTTGGTCATCTAGTTCACTTTTTCACTCTATTACTCGTAGTTCAGCTATTGTTTCTGTGAGAATGTGAAATTTCTCATCTCCAGACTTTTACATTGCCCATTGGACATTCTCATGGTAAGTATTTTAAACTTACCATGTCCAATGACACAGCTCTTCCCCAATAGCCACCAGTTACTGCTGATTCCCATGGCATCAAAATCATTCCCAGTCATTTGGCTGGAAATCTAGAAGCCATCACTGATTTGATCTTGCATTTCCAATCCAGTCAGTCACCAGGGCTTGTGGATTCTGTCCATTTTTGCATTCTTTGATCTGTCTCTTTCTTTCAGTCCCCATTGCCATCACTGTAGTTTACATTTTTATTTCACCTGTAGAGTAGCAGAATAATAGCTGATATTTACATAGCATATTGAGGTTTCTAAAACTCAGTGTGCTACATAAATATCGAGTATTATTATTCTACTTTGCATAGGCTATCCTGCGGTCAAATTGGCCTACTTGTTACTTTGTGGAAAATGTTCTCAGTTTCCCCTCTTTGTTTCCTTTGTTCAGAGTCCATACTCCTCTCACTGTCCTTCTCATCCCCACTTTGGGGACCAAAATGACATCACTATATTGGGATTATGTACAGTGTATCTAACTGTGGCTGATTAGACCAATATGAAGTTGAAAGTCTCTACCCGGGTCATGGCACAAAGAGTGAGCATTTGGAATGGAGATGTCTATAAATTTGTGCATCTCACATGCATTTAACTACTACAGTTGTGCTTTGCTCACAGAGCACAGTGCCTTCTTTGATATGGGTATGACATGTTGGGTGGTCCTGTGCCAGCGTCTCCCATTTCTCACAATCGATTCCAGAGTTCTTCAGAGGGACCTTGAGATTGTCCTTGTATTGCTTTTTCTGACCTCCAAGTGAGCAATTGCCTTGTGTGAGTTTTTTAGTCTTTTAGTTTTAGTTTTTGATCATCATACGATATTGCTGTTGCTATGTACAATGTTCTCCTGGTTCTGCTCATTTCACAAGAAGAGCTGCTATAAATATTTTGTATATAGAGGTCCTTTTTAAAAAAAATCTCTTTGGAATACGTACATAGTAGTGGTATTACTTGGTCAAAGTTTATGCATGATTTTATAACCCTTTGGGTATAGTTCCAAACTGTTCTACAGAATGTTTGAATCAGTATACAATTTCTCTTTTTTTTCTTCTTTTTTTTTTTTTTAGGCAATTGGGGTTAAGTGACTTGCCCAGGGTCACACAGCTCGTACGTGTCAAGTGTTAGGTCTGAGGCCGGATTTGAACTCAGGTACTCCTGACTTCAGGGCCGGTACTCTATCCACTGCACCACCTAGCTGCCCCATCAGTATACAATTTCACCAACAGGGCATTAGTGTCTCAATTTTACCACATCCACTCCAATACAAAATAGTCTTTTAGGTAAACATATGTTTGGCATTTGAACAGTATGGTGAGCCCATTAGAATTGTGCTTTCTGCAGTAGGGTTTGAATGCTAGACAGTTCAGCTTGAGAAAGGACTTCAATGTCCAGTACCTTATCTTGTCAGGTGATCTTTAGAATCATAGTAAGATAATTCAACTGGAAGCAGTTAAATTTTCTGGCATGGTCCTGGTAAACTGTCCAGGTTTCACAGGCACAGCACAGTGGCTCTGTAGACTCTCAGTTTGATATCTTTTCTTTTCCACACTTTCTTTTGGAGCCTCTTAAACACTGAGCTAGCTCTGACAATGCATTCATCAGCTTCATCATCTGTGTGGACATCCCTGGAAAGTATACTGGTGAAGTTAGTGAACTTACCCTCAGCAGTCAAAATTTCTTTATTTGCTGTAACTGATGGTTCAGGCTAGTAAAGAGCCTCTGTTTTCTTGGCGTTAATTGTTAGGCCAAAATTAGCACAAGTGGCAGAGAATCAATCCATACTTTGTTGCATTCAGCCTCAGAGGCTGCTTTGAGTGCACAATCATCTGTGAACAAGAAGTCATGCACCAACTCCTTCCACTTCAGTCTTGGCTTATAGCCTTTTCAAGTTAAATAATTTGCCATCTGTACAGTAACTGATGCTGTTTTCATCCTCATTGAAGGCATCTGAAAACATTGCTGAAAACGTCATGCTGAAAAGCATAGGAGTAAGCACACCACCCTCCTTCACTCTATCCATTATCCAGAACCTGTGCAAGCATGCCATCGTGGAACTGGCATCTTATACTTTTGAAATTCTCTGGGCCATGATCTTCCACAAGCCCTCATGACTGACAGCATCGAGGACCTTGGTCAGATCAGTGAACAATGTTTTGCTCCTTGCATTTGTCCTAGAGTTGTTGTGCAGCAAACACCATGTTGACTGTTCCTCAGCCCTTTCTGAAGCCACACTGGATGTCAGGTAGAGGACCATCTTCCAGGGGATGATCAGTCTGTTAAGGAAGACTCTGACAAGACTCTTGTTGGCAGTGACTAAGAGAAAGATACTCCCATGATTGTCATGGAACAACTTATTTCCCTTTCCCTTATATAGATGGACAGTGGAGGCATCCTTGAACTCCTGTGGGATAACTTCCTCTTGCCACATAACCTGGAAGACTTCAGTCATTTTTGTATGAACAATGGAGCCCCTGCCTTGTCAATTTCTGCTCGTATGGTATAAGCTCTAGGTGATTTGCCACATGAAAGGGGCCTGATGGTATCCAAAAACCTCTTC